TAGTAGTAGCAGCAGCAGCAGCAGCAGTAGTAGTAGCAGTAGTAGAAGGAGTAGTAGTAGTAGTAGTAGTAGTAGTAGTAGTAGTAGTAGAGTAGTAGTAGTAGTAGTAGTAGTAGTAGTAGTAGTAGTGGCAGTCGTATTAGTAGTAGCAGTCGTACTCGCAGTTCTGGTAGTACTAGTACTAATAGTAGTTGTAGTAGTAGAAGTAGTAGCAGTAGTAGTAGTAGTAGTAGTAGTAGCAGCAGCAGCAGCAGCAGCAGCAGCAGCAAGTAGCAGTAGCAGTAGCGGTATCAGTAGCAGTAGCAGTAGCAGTAGGAGTAGAAGTAGCAAGTACGACTACTACTACTACTACTACCACCACCACCACGACGACGACGACGACTACTACTACTACTACTAGTACTGCTACTACTCCTACTGCTACTGCTGCTGCTACTGCTACTGCTACTGCTACTGCTACTGCTACTAAGCCCCTTGGCTCTCAGCGAGAGATGTCTGTTCAAAACCGGGGCTCGGCTTCCGAACATAACGAGTGGTCCCTAGAAGGTCTCGGGAAGCCAACTCAACACAGCTGTAGGCTGCAGGGATGGCTACTTCACTCCTAGCACTGTTGCTTTTCCTGTGGCTTAGAGACGGCTCGCTTCCACCTGAGCCACCACTCTTGTCCGAAGCCCAGAGCTGCATCAGAGAGTTGGGTCATCTAGCCAGCTGTGACACCTCTGCTGCAGTGCCTCCGTCCGTTGCGACTGTCAGCATAGAGCTTTCTCGCACTGCTGCTCAGGGATCAGACCTTCAGGTACCTTATCGGCGGCCCTTAGGTGCATCATGTCGACTCGATACAGCCGCAAGCGACCGGCGGCTCGTGCTTCCAGTTCGCGGCCAAAGGCCAAAGCCGGGCCACTGGCCGAAGATGACGATGAGGAAACCTCAAGCTCGGCTACAAGGAGAATGTTGGAAAGCTCCTCGGCGGACGAGGACACAACAGGCCGGCACCGACCAAGCCAGCAGGGCCTCCTCCAGCTGTTCCGGTGTCCTCCTCAGCCTTTCCACATGTGCGATCTTTCAGGGGAAGTGTGGGGCGAGGTAGCATTGCCCCCAAGAGTGGTGCAAGACCATCCGGGTCACCGCCACCTACCGCTGCCGCTCCAGCAGCATCGATGGAAGCTTCCACCAGCCCTTCCATGGCGGATGTATCTGCAACGACTGCCCCGGCTATGGCTGCTACGCCCTTCAGGATTGGTACCACCTGGACCGCTTCCAGGTTTCCCTGGAACAGTGGGGGGGATGGGGGGGGACTCATGGCCCTTTTGCTACCCCGGCAGCCCACTATGCTGCTGTGGCCGGATCGACGGGCATGGCGACCCACAGTATGCCAACTGGACCTCCGCTGCCCCCGACACCGCCGCCCTCGACTGCAAAGGCCCTCCCACCTACTATCCGGGCAAAGGCTGCAGGGGCTACTTCAACTACCACGACGACTCAGTGGCCTGGCTGGACCATTACCATCACCATTCAGCCTAATCTGCCACCAGGTGCAAGAAGCTGAAGTATGCTGCCTGTGCAGACATGTTGGCCTTGAGAAAGTCTTGACCTCCGGTACTCCCCTGAAGCACTGGACTCTTCCGCTCCGGCAGCAGAAAACAGTCGATCCCTATCAGCGATCCTGTCACTGCCTGCAGTTTTCTCAGTTGGTGGGGACTTGCACTCTGACTATGTGCTTGCTCAGGCCGAAAGCATGGTTCTGCCCATCAAGGATCTCGCAGGCTTCTGTGCCCGACTCTCCACTACCCACCTGCGCGAAGTAATAGACAGTTGCTGTCCTGCGAGGAGTGAGCCAGCCATCCACACACGACGACCCGGACCGGTCGAAGATGCCGCCACTGTCCCAGAGTGCTCTTTGCAGGGTTTCAAGCCAGTCTCGACCAGACAGGCCCTGCATAGTTCTATCGAGCCGTGCCTTACCCACACTCGCTCAGCAACTCTGTCCGTGGCTGCAGCTGTCTCAGCAGGGCCCCCCAGGGGTAGTCGTTTGGAGTCTCCTCCAGACTCATGGTCTGAGTGCGGGAGACTGCCGTGGCTCTCTTCCAGAGCCTTGGGGAAAGCCCTGAATCCCGCCTCCTCCGCTGGACTCTGCAATCCTAGTGGCGGAGGATGCACTGGTGTCTGGAGCAGATGTCTTGATAACTGGAGGTGCCCACAAGCGCATTCATGGCCTTAAAGGGTACATCCTTCCCTCCTCGGAGGAGAACAGCACAACGGTGAACGTGCGGCTGTACCAAGGACATGCGACACTTCAGTCGAAGATCTCGTGTGTGCATCGCTCGAATGTCGCTGTCAGTGGACCTGGACCGCCGGTCGAAGACGACGGTTTGCACCCGTCGCTTCGCTGGCGTCTACGACCGCCTCCTCTTACAGTCTTTTCAGCTCGCTTCGTTTTGGGATGGCAAAGTTTGGCCACGATGGTTCCCATGAAGCCGGACAAGAGGCCACAGCAGGGTACTCCAGGATCTGGTCGACAACCTGTCACAAGACTCTGGCAGGGAGTCAGAAGGATCAGCAAGGAGGGTGCACTCCTGCCTCAGCCCAAGGCCAGTGCCAGAGGCGATCCCCCACTTTCGAGGCTGCAGAGGGAGCTCCTGTCGCGACTGCCTTTGGAAAAGAGAAGCACCACGAAGGAACCCGATGAGCTGGGTTGGGTATGGTACAGATGGTACAGCTGCCGACCGAAGTGCCGAGCCAGGCCGCGAGAAGTCCCCGACACAGCACGAAAACGAAGACGAGCTCGCTCTCCCAGTACGGAGTGGCTCCCGGCCACAGGCTCGTGCGCGCTACAGGTGGGGACGGTTACACTGCAGACCAACGACGAGACCTATCATCCCCGCTCGAGGAAACACAAGAGGCAAGAGAATCGACAGGTCTCGGGGACGAGCAGGAGGAGATGGTGGAAGTGGAAATTGAGGACGACGAGAGGCCTCTGCGGACCCCCAGACTCCCCACTGCTCCACCGAAGTCAAAGAAACGTCCTGCACCCTCTGGAAAGAAGTGGCCACCTGGCCCGACCAAACCTGAGCAATCTGCGCCGCGTACGGCGAGCCTGGACAAGCCCTTTGCCGAGATCCTCAGGTCGGGTACAAGCCGCCAGCACGAGGCAGAGGATGACACGGCCCACCGGGCCCAAGAGACCTAAGTCGATCTGGTTTGACACGACGGAGCCTTCGGAGGTGGCTGCTGCTATGCGACCCCGAAAGAGAGCCAGTCGCAGACAGATGTTTCAGACGGTGCTGCTTATTAGTGCTGCGAATAGGGCAGCAGAGGCTCAGCAGGATGCTGAGGACACTCCGAAGAGCCATCGACCTCGGCAGATGTACAAGAGGGACTGTGCTGATAGACTGCCTCGGCGGAACCTAAATGCTGTTCTTCTGCATACCTGGCAACCTGTCATAGTTCCTCGGCCCAGGTCAACGGCCCTCATGACGGGGTACCCAGGCAAGGGTCTCTGGTATGGCAGTCAGCAGTCCCCTATGTTGCCAGGGCATGAATACTCTCGAAGGTCTTGAAGACGGGGGACTGGGGCCTTCCAAGCCCCGACTGTCCCCTACCCAGTCAGCTCCCTCTATGCTGACACAAAGATGCGAGCATGTCTAGGCCGTGGCAGCTATGCACTGATGATCCCCGACGACAGGCCAGGATACTGGCAGGCAATGTCCCTGGCTCTCCACCAGAGCCTGGCCGACCTAGCCACAACTGTCCCAGGTCTCGCGCAGCCACCTCTAACCGCGACTTCGATACCGGCCGGAAGCCGGAGCAGTCACCCAGTCTTGCCCAGGGATTATCGTTCTCTGCGTCCAGGTCTGCCTCCTCCACTGGCAGCAGGCAACGGAGTGTTAGACCTTGAATCGAACCAAGTCAGTGTGACATGTCCGAACCGAGCACAGGGCTGGGTGGACTGCTACCAAGACCCTCAGAACTGTGCGATCTGTCATCAGCCAGAGTCCCAATCTGTCTTCCATAGACTGATTTCTGCTGGATTGTGGAAATGGCGTACAGGTCACCTCGACCACCTTCTGCAGAGACATGGATTCGAACATGCCCAGGTGGACACTTGCATCGCAGGTCTAAGCCCTTACAACTATGCTGTAGGTGCTGAACTGGATGAGCCGTGTGCCCCTGCACCCCCGCACATCTCTACGGATACGACCGGGAAGCTGCCCAAGGCGGCCATTGTCACTACCACACAATGTGCATCCAGACTCGTCGTTACAGTTCCTGGATCAGGTGTGCTTAAGGCATTGGCACCAAGAAATGGAGGCCGAAGCTTGGCACTACATGTTGTCGCACCCTCTGAAAACATGGTCGATCGGTTGCTCAGGCTGGCACCCAGGCCGTCCTCACGTACTACCTGGGAAACCCACGATGTGCGGGCTGCCGGAGGCATTATGCCCAGCGAGCCAATCATGAAGTCAGGATCAGTGAGCAGCGAGACCTACGAGCTCACTCCAGGAACAAGATGCCTCGCGAGGATAGATTGCCCCCCTTGCTGGACCTGGAAAGCATGGATTGACCCGGTGCAGCTAAGCCTCACTCTCGACAATTTTGAGACCCCTCGCCTTTGTCGAGTTCAGGAGAAACAGGTATGGGCCCCATCCTTTCTCAGAATCACTGCTCCGAACAATCATCATCTCTCTCATCGACAGAGCCACCCCGGTCCCAAAGCCGGGGGTCGACTTTATCCGCTTGTTCTACTCAGAACTCCTGACCAGTCGACAGGGGCGAGGGTTACAAGTGCCTGCCACTCACTTGTGGAACCGGAGGTTCCTCATGTAGGATCCAACGGGAAGCCGTGGCGTGAGCAAAAATCTCAACTCGTGCCTTAGGGACGGCCCAAGCAGGCTCCCTACGACTGTGGCCACTATGTGGCCACTCCCCAGCGAAATCCTCAATTCACGATGATATGATATTCACCAGACCTCCATCGCCTGCAGCCCCACGTGCGAAGCGAAGCATAACTGTAACTCCCATCGCTGATGCAAACCTTCGCTCCTACATGTTCTTTGCCTGCAGTCGGAAGACGACATTTTGTCTTGTCTACAAATCGAGAGTGCCAGTGCGATTGATCTGGACCGTGGCTCCAGCACTCAAACAGCTTACCCGATCCATGGTTGTACAGGGACCCAGAGACACACATGGCCGGCCCGCAGCAGTGGGAACTCCTCTGGCCACTTCTCCCTCGAAGGTGCGCCGGGCCCACCAGAAGCCCACGTGACGAAACAATTATGTCGCACCCCAACACGACCTGCTCGACACAGGAATCAGTTCGACCACCACAAGGCAAGGCCTGGCAACTCTGTCGATGCTCCAGACAACTTGCCGACTGAGGCAAGGAATCGAGGACATGGGCAATGCATCAGGTGCCCTCGAGCGATTCACGCTCTACTGGGCCTTCTTCTCTCTAGCCCTCTTCCGGTGGCTGGAGGGGCCCCTACACATCCCGCTCAGGCCGGGCTCAGGTCCTGCACTGCTGAGCCAACAGCAGCCTCGGCTGCACTGCAAGCCATCCCGTCACTAAGCTCGGCCAGGAAGAGAGCCTACAAACGAGCGGTACGGAGAGCCTCTCAGCACCCGGATCAGCGCACCACGTACAGAGGCCGTGTATGCACTCTGCAGCAGCTCTGTAAAGTCTACCAAGGTCGACAACCACGACCCAAACCTCAGCGACAGGCACAGCTGCATGCTCTACAGAGAAGTCAGGCCAGACTTCTTGTTCTCTCTTGGAACGCTGGAGGCCTCTCCTCCAACTTGTGGCAGGAATTGCTCCTAACCCTGGAGCATCTTGCTCCGGAGGCCAGACCCCAAGTCGTGTGCGTCCAAGAGTCACACTGGGGCGACAAGGTAGCCCCCTCCTTCATCACGGCTCAGTGGTCTGTATACACGTCGCCCAGCACACGGATAACAAGGCAGCAGGGCTTATAGTCCTCCTTGATAGAAAAGCACTGCCGAGTGGTGAAGTGATCACGGCTGATCCCAAGCCGGGCAGGGTGCAACACATCCGGATCGCCGCAGCCTCCTGGACAGCCGACCTCTTGCATGTCTACCAGAAGCCGTATAACTTTCATCCCAAGGCCTCACAGGATGCCAAGAAGATCAGGGCAGAGATATGGTCTGTGCTCGAAGCTCAGCTGCAGCGCATACCCAAGAGGCATACTCTGATGATTGTGGGCGACTTCAACTGCCCGTTGAAATCATACTCTCAGGCAGGCCCGCGAATCCAAGCAGGCAGCGGCACTATGCCACCAGACCAGGCTCGTCTTCAGACCATAGTCGAGGAGCATGGCTTAGCACACTTAAACGCGTGGTGCAGGGCAGCTGGTCCCACGTTTGTGCATGCAAAAGGTGCTAGCGTGATAGACCATGTCCTGATGAGGGCGTCTCAGACTGACAACAGGGCCAAACAAGCCAAGCCCGTGGACCTGGCCCTTGCCGCCTGGCGACTTGGGGGCAAACACCTCCCAGTCCAGGCCAGTCTCCCAGTTGTATCCTTTCACTCCCTCAATCACCCGGCCCGGCAAAACCCAAGAGAGCATGGAATCACTGGGAGGTGGTGCAACTTTGCAAATGCCCGAACGACAGTCGAGTGGAGGCCCTCCGTAACATGATCAAAAAGGAGCTACACGCGGCTACTGACATTGCCTCTCTAAACCAACTCTTGATCAGCTGTGCAGCGAAAGTGTTCCCTCCTGTCAAGGGCCAGCAGAGACTGGCCACCTGGCAGCAGCCCTGCATGAGCATCGGCATCAAAGGCATGTGGCAGGCCCGACGACAGTGAAAGCAACTTACGCAGACCCAACCTGACCAGGTCCTGCAGATCAGCCGAGCGCACCAAGCTTTCAAACAGGCTCACAAAGCCTTCAAACAGGCGGGCAAAGCATGCAAGAAGCAATGGTTCGACGACAGAATCGATGAGCTACAGGCTGCTGCCAGTCGAGGCGACACTCGATCGCTATTTGCTGGTGTCCGAGCTGTTGCGCCCAAAAAGGCCAAAGCGAAAGTTCAACTTCGAGATGACAAAGGACAGCTGCAGTCAGCAGGTGATCAAATCAAGCAGCTAGAGACGCACTACCGACGTCTGTACGCAGCAGACGAAGATCCCGCCGTCGCTGGTGAAGCCAGGGCCCCAGTCAATCTAAAGATTGACCCAGGACATATGACTCGTGCCCTCTCTCAGCTGTCACCGTACAAGGCAACCCCTCCAGACAAAGCCACGAACTCCCTCTGGAGGCTGACTGCAGACCTCATTGCACCCACCTTGTGCGAGATGGCCACAATTGGAGGCAAATCCCGACAGACTGGCGCGATGCATGGTTGCCTCGCAACTTGCGTCCCATTGGACTCACTGAGCCCAGCTGGCGGGCATGCGCCCGCCTGCTGCAGCAGCAACTTCGAGTATATGCCTCCACCTACCTCCGGGAGGCCTCGCAGTATGCATATCTGGAGGGCCGTGAGGCCGCAATGGCCATACACCGAGTATCGCAACATTGCAAGTACGTGCAGATGAAGTGCTCGCATGTGATTCGCACAGTTGCTGATAGGCAGGAGTGTCGTGCGGAGTCTGCTCCCCACTTCGCCGGGGTCCAGCTGTCGTTGGACCTCTCAAATGCCTTCGATCTCCTGAATTGGAGGTTGATAGATCGTGCTCTACTTGATGCTGGAGTTGACACAGAGCTGCGAAATCAGGTCATGTCGTGGTATTCAGAGGTCACATATCACATAGAGCATCTGAACAGGACGGCCCAAGTCACTGCCCAGCAGGGACTGCGTCAGGGCTGTCAACTCGCCCCGATCTTGTGGGCGATGGGGGTGGGATATGTCTTTAAATCTGTAGCTGCTGATGCCACCAATCAGGTCACTACAGCATGGCTACAAAACAATACCACCACCTATGCGGACGACATCCACCTCATGGAGGTGGCGAGTTCCTCTTCCCAACTCGATCGTATCCTACACAACTTCGGTACGATGCTAGATGCACTAGCGGACAATGACATGATTATCAATGCAACAAAGTCAGCAGTCCTCCTTAGACATCGAGGTTCCTTCATCAAAAAATGGCTACGACGACACAAGCAGCACACCCCGGATGGCGACCTTCTGTATCTCCGCACACCCAAAGGCCGAGAGTTTCGGTTTCCCATCCGAGATCAGCATACCTATCTCGGTGTAAAGATCTCGTATCATGCCATGGCCAGACACACCACTCACTCTGTATCGTCTACAGGTAGCCAAGCAAGCATGGCAGCGACTTCGGGGAGTCCTCTGCTCCAGTGGACGACTCGCGCTGGCTCACAGAATCTCCCTCTGGAAGGCCACGGTTCTTCCAACACTGATGTACGGATTGGCTGCAGTTGATCCGGAGCCCAAGGAGCGAACCCGTATGCAGTCTTTAATCATCAAGCACGTGCGAGCCATGGCTAAGTCCTTTGCAAACATGCAGCATGAGTCCTCGTGCAAAGTCCTTCTGCGATGCGGAGTCCTATCTGCACAGGCCCAACTCCAGAAGGAAACCGAAGGACTGCTTAGGCGCCTCAGAACCCATGCTGAGACGACACCTCTTGTATCATCGTCCTATGTGGAGGCACTACGAGCACAGGCTGCTAGCCTCCAGGCGGCCGACATGATTGGGGTGGACGACACCACTCAAACCATAGGCGGCGACCCTGAATACCACTGCCACACGTGTGGCAGAACCTTTCACTCCTTCCCACTATTTCGATCTCATGAGGCCAAATGGCATCAGCAAAAGACTCCAAGCCCCCAGCAAACCACCTTTGACCGATTTGCACATGGCACGGATGGCCTCCCCACGTGTAGGCACTGTGGTCATCGGTTCAGACAGTGGGCCAATCTGGTACAGCACATACAGCGCAACAGTCAGGTCCTCAGGAAAAGACAAGAAGAGGGCGACTCCTCCAGTCGCCCCCTGACTAAGATCAACGAAGGGCCAGGAGCTGAGGCTGCAGAGAGTGAAGGGTCACCACTGGAAACGAGTGTAGCTCGTCAAACAGATCTGTGCCAGGAAGCCGATCGAATGATATGTCCGCTTGAGGCAAGTCCTCCCTGTCCCATAGCTACTACCTCTCCTAAGGCAGGCGATAGTACACCAGCCGAGCAGGGGACCGCAGGAGAACCAGCACCCGAAAGTCCTGAGACCTTGCCTTCGACATCCCTCCCTCTCCAGGACTGGCCAGTGGTCACCCAGCATCTACAGGCGGGCACCTGGACACAACTCCTTGAATGCTCAGAGGTGCAGCAGTATCTACAGCACCACTGCCCTATCTGCATGCAATGGGCTGCCACGCCAAATGGACTCAAGTGTCACATGACCAATCAGCACGAAGAGTGGAGACAGCAGCCTATTCAGCATCTCCTAAAGAGCTTTAGACGTCATACTGTGCTCCCATGTCGATATTGTAAACAATCCCGGGTCAACAAAGATCGACATTGGCAGCAGTGTCATGTGCTGAGCTTTTGTGCATTTCTCCGAGTTAGACATGACGTCCAACATTCGGGACGACATGGGTCTGGACGATCAGGAACAGCTCTTCTTCCGGCACATGGGGCCTCTATCCGGAGTTCGTCAAGACCCCAACCGAGCGGAATCCAGCAACCCTCCACAGAACTCGGGAGCTGCCAAGAGGCCGAGAGTGGAGGGTCCGGAAAGAAGCAGAGGCGGCAAGGGCAAGGGCAAGGCCAAGGGAAAGGGAGGGCCCCCTCCAGGCCCATCCCTGGCTCAGGGCATCTATCCCTCGGCCCGAATGTGGGCATACAGCAATGGCTCCAACGAGGGCTCAGAAATGCCGGCACCGTGGTCTGCAGACAGACAGAAATGGTCCTCCGCCAAGAGCAGACACTGTCTGCTCTCAGACAAGACTTGATGCTGTACTTGTTCGTCCGGAGCGGCGAGCAGGGCATGATCCCCATCTTGTGCCAGGCGGCCGACAAGTGGAGACAGCTCAAGGAGGAGACACCGGAAAAACTGGGATATTCTCTCAAACTCGCGATGTTCAAGCAGTTGATGATCACCTTGCAGGAAAGGCTTACCGAGACGTCGAAGAACCCGCAGGCAATGGATCACGCCAAGTCCCTGAACTGGGTCGACACAGAGGGATGCTGGAGGATTCTCAAATGGAATGGGACCAAGCAGAATCTGGAGATCGACACTACGGTTCAGTCGACCTCCACCGAGAATCTCCTGAGCCAGATCGTGCAAGTCCGCAAGGCCATCAACGAGACCTCGCTTATCCGGTTCAAATCCATTCGAAGGCTGACGGAGGGAGTACAGACGGAGTGGGTGACCTTTCAGATCTTCGTGTCTCTTCGTCCGGAGGGCTCGCCAATCTGGAGTTCTCTGACATCGTGGATCGGACAAGCTGCATTCCACGTGATCGGATGCAGATTGAGGCGCGACCGGCCACAATACGATGCATTGGCGGCCAGCCTCTGGGGATGAACACAGGTGCGATTCCCAGTCTTCGCATGCTGCTGAAAGTCTCGCTGCATAATGACACCAACCTGTGTTATCTGAACTCCACTGCACTTGCAGCCACGTGGACCCTCCTCCAGGCCCAGCTGCATGGTCATCCGACCACTCATCTCGCCTCGGCCCTAAGACTGCTTTGTAATCGAGAGGGGCAGGCCCGTAATCTGTCAGTGAAACTGTTGAATCATCTACCCTGGCAAATGCTGCTGCAAGACTGGGCGAACGTTCATCAGCAACACGATGCTCCTGAACTTGTGATGCATCTGCTGCCCAGGCTTCATACCAGCAGTTTTGAGGGGCGATGGGAGGCTCGTGTCAGCACTGAGAGAGCTCTGCGAATCACAGACACAGGACGACTGCATGCACCAATCATCATGTTCCCTCATCCAGGGGACACTCTTTACCTTCAAAGAGTGATTGATCAGTGGCATCTTCAGGCCGATGTGCATGCCATGGTGAACCCCCCCAGCATACTTTGCATCCAACTTCAGAGATTCACAGGTGAGGGGGGAAATCTCCTGCGCAATGTTCGGCCCCTACATGATTGCCATCATATCGTCCACATACCAGTCTTTGCAACAGAGACGACCACTGATGTTTGTCCCGCGGCCTACGAGGTCACAGCGATTCAGCTGCACTTCGGTCGATCGCCCAACACGGGGCACTATCGGGCGGTCCTCAGAGGTCAAAAAGAGTTCGGGCACTCCCAAGCATGGATTACTGATGACAACTGCCCAGCACAGTCCGCTACCAATGCTCATCCGGAAGCATCGTATCTGCTTTGGCTGCGGCAGGTCATCGAGTGAGCTTGACATGAGTTAGAGACTATCGGAAGGAGCTGACAATGTCCTCCTGAGCCCATAAGAGGCTCCGGATATCATGAATACCATGATGTCTGTCTGCTCGCTAGG